CCCAAATATTCAGATGTGTGCAGCACATTTTATGGAGGACTGTGTCCTGATCCTGGGAGAGTAGACTACAATGCCGGCGGTTCTGACTCTAAGACTGTAAGTATGTTTTTTATATTTAAAGTTTTTATATTTTATATATTTAAAGCAAGTTTTTTGGGCAGTGTAGAGTAGGGCTTGTTGTTTGTCATTTCTCCGATCACAAATGCAGACAGGGTTTTATGTTTACGTGGCGTGATGCAACGCAACACATAAAAAGACAGTATAAGTCATTATAATCAGTAATTATGTCCCCACTGGATGCAACAAATGCCTCGTTTGTAATGGGTTTTAATTGTGAGGGTGAGGGGCGTAACATTTCCGTCACACGCTTGAGGTATTCAGCCAATCACAACGCACTGGATAGCTGGCCAATGAGAGCACACCTCGCTTTTCAGACCGATGAGCTTTGTAAAAATCGATGCGTTTCAGAAAGGCGGGGCATAGAGGAGAAACAATAATGTACAGTATGTGGAAAATAATGTTTTTTTTGAACATTAAACGGCATAAACACATTTCATTACACCAAATACACAACATACTGTTCTTCTTAGCAACATCATATGACCCCTTTAAAAGTATTTGACAAGAAACCTATCAGATATCTTTATCATTTGGTTATCAATGAGTACAATTTTTTTTACTTTTGACAGTTTTGTTGTGTTCTACAACTGGAATAATTTACCCGTTAATATTAGACAGTGTTGCACCTTAGCACAGTTCAAGCTACATTTGAAAATATGGTTAAAGATGAGTCCGCTGTGACCATTGAGTATTTTTGTATCTTGAATGGTTACAAAACTTTGGTGAGTTGTCAAATTGTTACAATTTTTGAAGGGTGATGCTTTGTAGTATTTATAGGGCATGCTTTGTAGAAATTTGGATTGCAGTTTCTATGCGGGGATATGAATTATATACAAATAACGAATTAAATAAATAAAAAATAAAAAATAAAAATAATTAATACATAAAATAAACAAATATAAAAGACATATACCTATGTACTAAAATATATAGAAAATAAATAAAAATAGATAAATAAAAACAAGACGTATGTACTAAATAAAAATAAATACCAAATAAATAGACGCACGTTTTATGCTTTAGAAATATTTAAATATGCATTTATTTGAAAATAAATAAAAACTAAATACATAAACACATATTCTCGTCTATATTGCCCTCTGAATAGCAAATGCAGATATTAATAATAAAAAAATGTAAACAAAATATTTCATAATAGTAACATAGGCTATAAATAATAGTATAATATAGTTACTTAAAGTAACATTTTACGTAATTTATTTTGCAGGTTTGAACATTATTATTATTATTATTATTATTATGTCACTGTTCTGCTGTATTTGTCACAACGAACCGTCTGAGGAAGGAACGGTACTTCCGGTCGTCGTCTTGGAGACCAGTCGTGTGCTTCCGGTCGCGATGCTAAGTGCGCTAACGCTAGCGGGCTGCGGGGAGTTTGTAAGATTGAAATAAACAGAGAAATCGATCGGATCGATGTCCGTCAGTCGGCGCTGTCTGGACAGAGTCCTCTCCATCGTGAGTCTCGCACCAGCTGCTCTTCATTTAAACCTGTTTACAGACGATTAGCGAAGGTTGAGGATAAATATAGAACATTTACTTACTTACAAGAGATGCTACTATTTTGTTATTGTGGTGTTATTTCGTTTATATACTAGTATGGAATTTATTAATATTGCTATTTTTATATTTTTGAAGAGCTTTTTCCATTTTCAGTTTTCACTTAAGTTTCAGCAATCAAATTATCTAATATGTATATGTGTGTGTATATGAAAAAACGTGTCTATATATGGAGAAAGGGTGGAATGGAATATATATATATATATGAAAAAAAATCACTTGATTGCAGTGATTTCCTCAAAAGGTTATGTAAAGTTAAGGGTACCATCATTTTTGTCCAGGCCAGTTTCATCAGTTTGTTTTTTTAAATGCTTCTGTTGAACCACAATTCAAAAGCAATGTCTGATTTTATTTAATTTGTCCACGTGTCTGTGTGTGTGTGTGTGTGTGTGTCTGTCTGTCTGTCTGTCTGTCTGTCTGTGTGTGTGTGTGTGTGTGTGTGTGTGTGTGTGTGTGTGAGAGAGAGAGAGTGTGTGTGTGTCTGTGTGTCTGTGTGTGAGTGTGTGTCTGTCTGGGTGTGTGTGTGTGTGTGGGTGTGAGAGTGAGTGTGTGTGTGTGTCTGTCTCTCTGTGTGTGTCTGTGTCTGTCTCTCTGTGTGTGTCTGTGTCTGTGTCTCTCTGTGTGTCTGTCTGTGTCTGTGTGTGTGTCTGTCTGTGTGTCTGTGTCTCTGTGTGTGTGTGTGTGTGTGTGTGTGTGTGCGTGTGTGTTTTTGTGACATATGAGGACACAAATTTGTATAATGACATGGATATAACATAGGTATTACAAGGAGAAGGTGCCTTATGAGGACATTGCCCCATGTCCCCATATTTCAAAACACTTATAAATCATACAGAGTGAATTTTTTGAGAAGGTAAAAATGCAGAAAGTTTCCTGTAAGGGGTAGGGTTAGGTGTAGGGTATCAGATTTTGTTCAGCGTGAGTGAGACGCACCTCCGCAGTCGATCATGTTGAGTTCATCAGGTTTGTCCAGATCATGCCATCCAAACACACACACACACACACCACAAAACACACCTGAAACAACAGCAACACACACAGATTACTCCGCAGCTCATCTGTCATCAACTTCTCTGCTTCTTCACATTGATGCAGCTTGTGTTCATGAGCTGTTACCATACAGATGCAGTGGGCTCTCATGTCGACAGGCTCCAGTGTGGATGCAGACGGATGCTGTGAGGTTTTGTGCTCCAGGGTCACAAATATGGTCATGCAGAATATGAACAGCAGCAGTATGCTAGTAGTATGCATGCTAATAAGCATCTAGTTAATATTGAGAATTGGTCTCTAAACTGAAGTGCTACCAGCATTTTGCATATCATTTTAGAGCATTACTAAGCGTGATAATGTAGAGCAGTGTTGGGGGTAACGCATTACAAGTTACGTAATCAGATTACTTTCTTCAAGTAACTAGTAAAGTAACGCATTACTTTTTAATTCACAAGAGAATTTCTGAGTTACTTTTTCAAATAAGTAA